TACTTTTTTACTTACAAGTATTTGTGTGACCCATAGATAATTGTTCTGGACTTGGATATTTATCCCAAGGAGGGTTTCATTTCAAGCGGCCAAAAGCACTTACAGCATGTTTCGCATATCATACCGACTCCACCTACGCGGGATTGGGGCAGGAGGATGATGATGGTAATGATGATTGAGTTTTAGTTCTGCGCATTCCAAATCAGACATATTTTTGTAAGTGTACTTTCTGTAAGTGACATTCGACAATTATTTAAGACATTTTTAGTTGTAAAACATACTTATACCCAGTTACCCTTTTAATACAGTTCCAAACGGGCCCCTTCATTTTAATAACATGCTATAATACATCTTGCCATCTCACGTGTATCCAAATCTCTAATTACTGGAAACAGCGCCTGACGAATGGAGCGGAAAATATTTAAATGGAACCCGGAATACCGTGCAACGCATTATTCCATAAAATATGATGATATAGAAAACACAAAAAAAATTCAAAGAAAAAATTTATTGCTCTTGCACCCGGAAAGGCGGTCGATTGGGGAACGTAAGGAGAAATTTAGTTTTTCTCGCTAAGGAATGCTCGACATTCTTTGTAAGGTTAACATGAAAATATTCGCTTTAGTTTGCTTCATAATTATTTCAATCCGTTATTTTAATTATTTCAATTATTAAAATCCCTAGTTGACCTAATATAACTTGTTAATCAACCGACCTCAAAAAAGGAGGAGGTTCTCAATTCGACTTAATTTTTTTTTTGTTTGTTATCTCAGAACTTTCGACTGAGTGAACCGATGATTTCTTTTTTATTTGAAGGCTGGTGCTTCCCATGAAGTCCCATATTAATATAATTGGTATGGGGAACTCCTAAAAATCAGTTATAAAATGAATACAGATCGGTACAAGTCAGTTTTGTTTTTCGTTGATAAAAAAATTGAATTGTGCAGTTTACATTGCATGCTTGGACTAGTAAAATTAAAAGAAAATCGGTCAAGTGCGATTCGAACTCGTATGCCGAGGGTTCCGTGTCTACCCATTATACCGCGAAAATAAAATAGTCACTACCGATTTTCTCAGAAACGGGTGGACCTGATACTGAGATCTATAATACCTCCCAGTCAACACGATAAAAATATTGGGTCAAATTTGGATTTTCGCGAAAACTTTAATTTATTTTTTACTTTTTTATTTTTCGGTAATTTCCCTTTACTTGTGCTGTAAGATCTTACTTTTAACCAAAATTGACAATTCTTGGTCTACTGGAAGTACTCTATAGGTTATGGATCGAAAAACAATCAATAGAGTTAGTTCCCGTTGACCTAGAATCACAAAATTTTTTACTTTTCGTAACAAATATCGAAATTTGTAGCAATACTGTTTTTTTTCCTGATTTAAATAACAATGCCACCAGCATTATTATTATTATTATTATATTATATTTTAAATTAATAACCATTTTTTTCAGTTTGTTGCATGTTTTTAATATATCGATATATTGATTTTTTTTTGATTTTTGCAAAACAAAAGGAATCCTGAATTATATCTGTATGATGAAATATATCTGTATTGAAAAGTAGTTCAATTTCAACTTACCTGTTATTGTTATTCCTTGATATATTGTAAAAAAATTTGTACCATTTGTTTTTATTCCTACACAAATTTCATAACACGAGATGTCATTATATTATTTTTAAAATTTGACGTAAATAGACGCCGTCGTACCGCGAATGTTCAATGACTATAACGATCACAGTTGTCTGGACTTTTTGAAATGTCTTTGAACAATTGCAATAGAATTTGTTATTGCTTATATTATGCTATAAGATAATAATTGCAAATAATTAACAAATAATTTTATTTTATGTAATAAATAAATAATAATTTTATTATATCTATATATTTTGACAGCTTTGGCGGAAGAGGCCCGCGGGCAGACGACCCACGGGCTCGGGAAAACAACGTAGCTGGTGCACGACGACAACAAGAAGACGCCGTCCACTCCGCTGCACTCTGCAACACCCTGCTAACGAAAGATGGACAAGGGGGGGGGGGGGGGTCACGACACGATCCAAGGGCCCCTCGGATGGAGGTTCGGACCTCGGCTTGGTTCGCAATCAATACATTCTATATTGTTATACTTAATATTAATATGAAGTTAAGTCTTCAGTTTCTACTTAGTATTATAAAGTTGGCCATTTATCACTAAAGCCATCTAATGGACTTATCTACATAATTATATTCATATCATTATTCATAATTTCATAATTCCTTAATTCTTAATTCAATATAATGATTCAAACACCATTTCAGCTTATGTTTACCGCTGTTGACGGAAAACCGTCCAAGTCTCTAAAATAATATATTAAAATGGCAAAAAAATCTTGTCATTTGTAGGGAAGCCCCACATAAATATTTTTATACTGTTTTTTATTTGTTGTTATATCGGCAACAGAAATACATGATCTGTGAAAATTTCAACTGTCTGACTATCACGGTTACAGCCTGGTGACAGACTTACAGACGGACATACAGACATACACCCAAATAGACAGCGGAGTCTTAGCAATAGGGTCCCGTTTCACCCTTTGGGTACGGAATTCTGAAAACGAAGTGACACCTAGAATAAAGCTAAAAATTTCTTAAAAAACTTTCGTTCAACTAATAAAGATTTGTATGATGATGCCATCTTTTGAAATAAGTATAAATGAAAGATAGCGCAGTAAACTTATAACATAATTTAAACATGTTCTGTGCAAAATTTTCGCATGGTACCGTGAACAGTATATACAATATTTTTCATATTATTCTTCAAAATAAGATACCTTTCATTGATAAGTATTACTTAGATATTTTTTCATTATCATTCGAACTATTCACTGTACATAGCGATGATTTTGCACGGGTCAACTAGTTATAAGCTTGTGACATATTTAATGTCGCCTATATCTCAACATATAGAGCGTTTTTACGTGATACACCAGAAATTACATAATAAATTAAGTACCCGGAGGACCGAGCTTTGCTCGGTTTGTTTTTTTTTTGGTAAATCGTGTATTTTGGAAATTACATTTAGATACAAATTACTGAGTAATGAAATATGCATAATATGCTTACCGACGTAATAATAAGAAAATATGAACTGATGTTTATCACAAAAGAAAGAACTTAAAAAAAAGGGAATAAATAACAAAATAACAAATCGACAAAAATTAAAAATAAAGAAAGCAATGATCTGGAATCGAAAAAAAAGTAAAAAAATAAATGTGTAAATAATCGTGATACGAACCACGGTCTTCTGCTGTTTCGTGGCTGTTTATTAGCGGCCGCCCGATTACCGACCGAGCTATTATAACATTTTTTTTTCGGTGAAATTTACCGTCGTATTCGAATAATATTTTTCATTCCCTGAAAACAGGGATAAAAGGACATTTTCTGAAAATGAAACCTAGCTTGACCGATTTTTCGCCCCCGTTTCCGAGATTCCGAGATATATATATATATACTATATATTGCTCGTTTAAAGGATAAGATATATACTTATCAATGCATCGTTACGATCTGTTATGTTATTTATTAATTGATCGTTACGATCAAATAATAAGAGAAAAAAAAACGTATAGTTATTGTGTATTAAAAATATAATCATTAATGTAATCATATTAACTATGAAGTAAATTACATGATAATGCTATATGCATAATAATGCATTGTTCTCGTTTGCTTTGATGTAGATAGACCGATATAACTTTACGGGGCAATTTTAATATAAATACGTGTCATGAATAGAATTCCGATACCCGAATTAATAATACAGGACGGAAAACCGTTCACTGAATGAGCCCAAAGTCGAGGCCGATCTTAAATTTTAATCACCCGGTTTGAGCTAAGGGCTTGTTTGGTTTTTTTCGGTCACAGGGTGATGGCGGCTCATTACAATCACAATAGGCTTGCCGCTTAACCGTTAACGGCGTTACTTGCGGGCCCACTTATTCAATTTTCTGTTTTAACACAAGCTTCGGATTGAATATCCGTAAAGTGCCTAAGGGAGAAGGTAATTTTATGTAAAAATAGGGGATTTATAACCGTTTTCAAAAAAGTTTTTATTCTATAATCTTTTTCAATCCCAATAGATATAGGTAAATGATAACCATACATGAACTCCCCTAGATCTACGACATAGAAATATTTTTAATGCGAATTAGGAATTATATTATAATTAATTAAGAATTATATATTGCTTACATATTTTAGCTTCGTTTTCAGTTTTTTTATCTCTTTGACTAATGTTTATATTTTGTACTGTTAATGAATTACAATAATTATGATTGTATTTGGCAAATCAAGGCAGCAAATGGATAAGTAGACAGTAAGGATACTTTAATTTGAATTGTTAATTTACACAAAAAAATTTATTAAAAAAAACCTTTAATTTTTTTTATTAAATAGGATACATGTAGAGCACAATTTTTAAGAGTGCAAGAGAAAATCACATTTCGCAAAAATGAATCAATCAATTCAGTATAAATTAAAATCATTTATTTTTACTAAGTTACATACTACCATCACATAATTTAACTATATTTAGTTGAAGGCACAATAAATAAATACTTATAAATACGCCTCTCTAAGGAAAGTGCCTCGTTGCTGATGTACACAACACATTACTAAGCTAAACATATGACTTAGATTACTAATATTTTACAAGAAAAATGTTTAAATTGAACTCTAGAAAAACGACTAAGAATTATAAAAGCTAATGTATGTTATTTCATGAACTATCTCTTTATTGTCGATTTAAAATAAACACTCGGCGAATGATTACGATGCGTAGAACGAATGTAGGGAATGTAGAGGTTTATTACTTCTAGTGACCGTTACAGCACACCTTGCGCCCGCTTCGTACATCGCTTTGGGAACAGCTGTATGTCGATACACGCGAGCTATATGCATACATGGCAATCAAATAATAATTTACACAGATACATTATCTAAGCCAATTAGTGTTTAGTTTTCGCCAACGGACGGCTTTGTCTTGTTTTCTCCTGCCACCATTTCAAAGTCTCCTCGAATTGCTCTCTGTCCTCAGGAGTGACTTGTATTTCTGGAAGTTCCCTCTTCAGCTCCATCTCATTATAAGGTTGATCCTCGATGAATGTTTGAGTTTCACCCTTAAATTTAAATTGGTTGTGGGATAAAATTAAATCCGGATTAATAGCTTCTAGAGGGAGCTCCGTGTCGTTCTCGTAATCCGTATGGATCTGATGATGAATGGATTCCGCGTATTTAACTTCAAAATCACTCTCGTTCAATGCCATTTCCGATTCGCTGCAATAACTTTGTTCGGGTATCACGGAAAACTGTTCAGCCGAGTTTGGAAATGGAAAGTGGCCATCTAATATGTGCGGATTCGCATCTTCATGTCCGAGGAGATCTGACGATGGAGTCAAAGGTTGGCCAACGCATTCCTCTTCATCATATAAGTGCGGTGTAGATACTATATGAAATGGTTCTGACGATGGTAGTTCCATATAAGATTGACGGTGTATCTGTAGGGAGCCGTCCAGCTCGTCGTCATCAACATCATCATCGTCAATAGCTGGCGAGTTAATAGAAAAGTAACTCCTCTCCTGGCTGTTATCTCGTGGCGACGAGGAAGCAGGCGAAGGGAAGGATTCCATTGAAGGCCTGGACATGTTCTCTTTATCAGCGTGCCCAATATTAAGCAGACTCTCAAGATTCCTTATATATTCCACGGCCATACGCAGGGTTTCAACTTTGCTCAATTTCTTGTTGGGCCCACGGTTAGAGTTGGCATTTTCGAAGGCCGCAGCAACCTCGTCCGGAATGTGTCGGCGCAGCGCGGCGAAGCCATCGTTTACTTGGCGCACCCTGTTCCTTTCCCGCGCATTTCGACGCGCAACCGCAAGAGGTGTCGGCGTCCTTGACGCGTCTTCCGGTACGTTCTCGCGATTTCGCGGCCTCTTCGGCAAGTTCGAGTTCACAGATTCCGTTGCGCGCACTAGCGATGTCACTGAAACCGTGTCCGGCGATGTCACTTTATGTTTCTTCCTAACGATGATAATTTCACCAATGTTCGGGCCGGCGTCGTTGTTTGATATGTTCACGGTATTATTCACGGATTCTTGGAGCACCTGCGCCTTGCTGAGCGGCGAGTTGCGGAACACTACGACGCCTATGGAGCTCATTTCGGTGGTGAGTTGCCGATTTCACATGTTACGTGTGTTTGGGTTGCATTAGTTCCGGTTTGCCGTTCCTGATGAGATCACGTATTTCGAAGAACCGTTTAGCGGTGGTGGTGTGTTGAGTTGTTGAGATGGCGTCAGGGCGCCGGCCACCGCGGGAATGGCGCGTGCCGCGCGGGCGCACCTGGGGTGGCCGGCGGGGGGATCAACAGGGGTAGGTACTTACGTTTGCTAGTTGCACACATGCTCTTTGAAAGGGCGGAATAGGGCGGCGACGTGATTTGCCGCAGCGATATCGATAAAGTTTTATATGTGTTAACTTTTATCGATATCCATTTTTTGAGTGAAGAAAAGATATATGCGATATAAATTTGAGCACACGTAACATGAATGAAGATGACTTAGCACTATAACTTCATAGTAAAATTTTTTTTTCGTTTTGTGAATAGAAAGCAGAAAACTTATAAATACATTGTAATATTTCTACTTTTTTTTGTTGTTACTATTAATCTCAACGTGTTACTGTCTAAACAAGGGTATTTTAAACATAAAACTGTTTTTGTTCTAAATATTATGTTACCTTTATAAATTATTTTAATCGTAAATAATATTTTGCTTTCAGTGTACAAGCAGAAAGATGACCCAACACGCGAGTAGCAAAGGACAATAATTTATAATGGGGTGGCACACCCAGCTGCCGCCTGTGTGTTAACTATAGCACGCACACACGCGAACTATCAGATGGAATTGGTATACACGTGTGAGGTAACGGGTATAAAACAGTTTTGTTTCACGGAATATGCTGTATTCGGTATCAACCCTCTGCGCTGTTGCAGCGGGTTGACATTGAATTCCGCATAATATTTATTATCTAAGTAATAATAATATGTTATTATTATTGTATTACGGTTCTTAATTAATAACAGTAATACAATAAGACAAGTGTCTAAAATATTAAATGTAATACTCTTATGAGCCCCATATTATAACTTCATGGGAGTCAAATCAAAATGTAAAATTTATTTAAATTCGCATTCATGGCAACTCTCAAGTAACTTCGAATTATCAAATTTCCCTATTTTAATTACAAAAGAATTTAGTCGAAAACTGGCTGAGGGTTTGTTTTGTACAAAATCAATCAATGTTATTTTCATGAATTCAGTCGTTTGCACGGACAACTTCGTCTGTACTTATAATTCTAATTTAATTTAGATAAAAATGTACCGGCACAATATTATATCTTCCGTTTAGACTGAGAGACACAATAAGGATCTAAGTAGACAAATTTCTACTTGACTAAATGTCACGACCCATTTATGTTTATTTTCTTAACGAACTCTTTTAACTATTCATTATTAGTTAAAACAAGACCTATTGTTAAACATCCTGAAAGTAATATAATTTTTTTTATGCAGTAGCTACCGTGGTTATACTAGTGACATGAACAACTGAATAATCAATCTTGTCTCAGAATTTAAAAAGTTTCTACTTAAATTTTTGTATCATTACGCATATTAAACGCACACGTGCACACAGCGCACACGTGAACGCGCACACATATATATACATACGTATTTCGGTTATATGTGTGCGTTCACCTACGCCAGCTGTCTTTGGTAGCTTTTATCTTTTGTGTTGTGGCACGCGCCACTATTCTATGACTATTGTGACCTATCTGTGAAAGCAATACGTGCAAGCCATAGTACACCTTGTTCTGTTATAGTTACAAAACTATTTTCAATGACTTGTGATATTAAAATAACATGATATTCACAAAAGAAAGACGATGATTGTACTTACTATAATAATCTAATTAATGTCGCAAAAACTTTATGACTTGATCTTTATAATATGGGTATGACAGAAAAATCAATACCCTTTGAATGCCTTCATCAAAAAGTCGTGATAATAAATAATCGAAAGTTGTAAGGAAGTGGGAGTATATTAAAAGAAAATGTTATTTGGAAAATTAGACTGTGGCCCAAGCGGTATGGTGACGTGGAAAGATTAACTGTTAAAAATTATAGTTTAAGGAAATTCACTTCATAGGGAATTGTGCAAAAATAATGAAAAGAGGAATCCATTACCTTACCTCCTCTTTGGGTGAAAGGCGTGAGTCCGATAAGAATTTTCAGTTAAATACGGAAAGTAAAACTAATTTTGGCAAACTTATTTTTTTTACCTCATAATTTTATGCGATACCTGCAAAAATTTCTATTTTAAATAAGCTCAACATTGATCAAGATTAAGAATAAAGATCATTGATTATTTATCATTTCTCCGGCGATACAACCTAATACGTAATTACAGTGCTGTTATTGACTGTTTATAATCTGCTGTGTAAATCCCACTGTTTATAATTTTGTTAAATGGCAATAGAACAGAATTTTTGATACTTTTATGTTGTTTGTGAAAAAGAACACTTAATTAAAATGTAGAAATAATTCCATGATTCTAATCAGTCGTACTAGTAAGATTAGCCCTATCCTAAATTTTATATAAAAAATGTGCAGAAATAGAGAAATAGGTAGTCGTAATTAATTACCCAGTAAGATTCCTTATTTACCCAAAAGGACCTTAGTTATTATGAAATATTTTTAGATTGATTAGAAAAAAATAGAGTTTACCTTTGAAGATTTCACCTGTCCCTATTGATATGATTCGCCAAACGACTCCGGCATATTGATGAGCAACTTTCTTCCTTTGTCTGAGAAGTTGACAAGCAAAATGCAGGTTTAACAGACATTAAATGATTACCACCATCCCTGTTACATTGTATTTACCTGTTGCTAAGCAGGCGCGTTTTCGGGCTTTGTAAGAGTGGGTCCCGGTTACCTCACAAATCAGACGAACCCCAAAAAAATATATATAAAAACATATAAATATTCACTTCATGCCGTACGAGTCTGCCTATTCGGGCAAAAGTAGAAGCTGTTAATGCACGAATGAGCAAGCTCGTACGCTTTTGGTAATGTACTTTTTTATTTATTGGGTAAGTATTATTGAAACAAATTTATATTTTTATTATTTAAGTAGTTTCTACACACGTATACCGATTTGATGTTATTAATGTCCCGTGGAATAACGCCTTAAAGAAAGATGGAAGCAACACTATTCCGTTATAAAATCGTGCTTCGTGGTTCTAAGGCGTTTGCGTTTCGTTGTTTCATTTGCTACTCATTTACTCGGCACATTTAAGCTTTATAATCTATTTACAAGTTCTCAAAATACAATTAAGTGCTCGTCATATTTTTATTGACGAAAAGGTTCAGACTCATTTCCATTTTTATCTAATTTTCTTATCTTGTCAATAGCTATATAAATTCAGAGCCGCATAATATATCACATAATAAAGTTCTTAACTTTAATAACTGCAATTGCTTTGATGCCTATGCTATAATAATAAGTACGAATAACTTAGTAGGAAAATGAGGAAAATGTCATTTGAAGTCCTTTTCTACAGATAGACGGACCACATACCTAGATTATATTGATAAAACAATCAAAACGTAGGCAACCACGGTGGTACTAAATAAATCATTAGAATCGTGAATTTGTGCCCAAAATGTAAATTCACCGCAAGTATTTACTCGTATAAAAGATAAAAACTACATTATAAATAATGTTCTTTAAAACAATTTGGGCGATATAATAATAAAGTTGTATCAACATGCACCACGGAATGAGATTCTTATCGGTGTATATTATTTTGGATTATGTGATTAAAATATATCATTATGGTTAATCACGATTTAGAGACAAGATTGGCGTTAGGTAATTTGGCATGGAAAGTTGGCATGGTAATTTCAAATTATGAGAAGGGATGAAAGTCATGTGACTAAAAGAGTGATATATATGAATGTTAGGTTGGAGGATGTAAGACTAGAGGAAGGCCGAGGAAGATCTGGATGGATTGTGTGAAGAATGGTATGTCTGTGAAAGGGGTGAGTATTGAGATAACGGCTGATAGAGGAAAGTGGAAGTAAGGACATGTTTTGCCGGCCCCGCCTAGTGTGATAAGGGCAGAAGAAAGAAGAAGAGATTTGCGTTAGCAAATTGTGTAGATTATCGAAAGTCACAATAGGGGTGGTTCTTTAACTAAACATTTTAATAAACATTTCGTGTATTTACGCAAGTGCTTTACATGGTTATATAACTGTTATATGGCTTTGATCATTTGAGAATTCTTCATGAAAATTCCAACTACAAAGAGGCTTTATGTAACTAGTGAATTAATCAACAATGTACAATGTACATAAAAAATGCAGAGCGTCTGCCTGCAACTGCGTACAAGATTGATCGTGTTCTTGTCTTATAAAGTGCAAATCATAAGATCAATAATACCTGAGTAAAGGAACACAAAGCTGACCTGAAGAAGTGAAGAAGTCTCCAGCAGTTTTGATCATATTTTGAAGATGAAGAATAAAAAGAATTGATCAAATCCACGCAAAAGGAAACGAACTTCTCGCGGACGGTGAAAGATAAAGAAACACCTTAATTTCAACAAAAAAAGATAGTTGGAGTTTACCTTAAGCTCTTTTTGTGTAACTCGTAAAAAAATTAATAATAAAATAGTTGACGGTAACGCATGTTAATCTGACATCGGGACCTAAAACAACTCCCGTGTCCTTAAGCGCATAATTTTACCTATTTTACGATGCTACATGAGGCACTGAACAATCCAGGTTAGATTAAAAACAATTTAAAAGAATTTTAATTAATTTGTTAGTTTACAGATTGAACTCGAAACTGATTAACTATGTTAAAAAAAAACTCAATCCTTTTGCTGTCGAAATTCTTGTCTCTCTTGGATGCTATTATGTAACGAAATACTAAATTCGTATTAGGAACATCATTGACATTCGGGGACAATCCTCGTAATGCTTAAAAGTGCATCCTGTAACTTAAGCAGTCGATTTTTTCGCCGCCAATCCGCTCAGTAAGGTGAGGCTCACCATCTTGCGAACATGTGGGCTCCGTGCGTTCACGTCACACGTCACGGTGTAGGCTATGTGCTGGGCTATATTTAGTGTGGCCATATGTTGATGTCTGTAAAGGGGAACGTGTGGCAAATCAGTGCACAGGTTTCGAGAAACGTCTGAGTGCGGTTAATGTGTTTATTTTGTTGTTCAAGTGTACGGGACCGGACCCTTTGCTTTACTAAGCGAGTATTTCTCTGTTGAGAAGTTTTGCTAATGGACTGGAAATTACTCAAAGTAAACATATTTTACATCAGCTTAATTATCGAATGTTTTAAGAAGACATATGTATATTTGAGCTCAACTAATTTTGTTATAACTAAAGTAACAGCCTATATATGTCCCACTGCTAGGCAAAGCCCTTCTGTGTACTTAAAGTGTTACTGCATAGTCAACCACTGCGGATTAGAGGACTTCACATATCGTCGTAATATTTATTTTGGTATTATTTCGAAAATATGGAGGTCGCCTCACAATTTTTTCCTTCACCGTTAAGCTCGTAATATTCAACAATTTTATTGGTGGTAATTAAACTCAGGTCGCTTGAGTATTTTTAATTAAAAGTGAGCGTCCGGACTAGGAGCTATCACTACAAATTTTGTTATAAATTCATTTATTAGCATAGTCATTTGTTATAAATTCTTTATTAGTCTTAGTCATCAGACTGATTGTTCTCAAAAGAATATTAATAAATAACTACTTAACCAAGTAGCAAAGCAAAACTGTTTTTTGCATCTTTCTGGATGTCATACACATAAATCCATGACAGTATTGAAAGAAAAATACTGAAGCATACAATGAAGAGCAAATCCAACCTGTGCTGAATGCACGTCGTCAAAACACAGCTGTGCTAGTAAAACGATCCCATCGACCGAGTTACCCTCAAATACTATAACCTATCTCAATGCAGGTCGCCTTGAAATAGCTGGGCTATTACTTATTCAGAGGGCCAGACGGGGCACTATTTCTTATTAGAATTGAACGGACAAAAGGGGAACCTTCAACTTGAAAATTAAATAAGCTAAGGTCACTGCCACAAAGACGAATGGCGGGACTTAGGCTGCATCTAGACGACTAGACTAAGCATTCATTGGATCTAAATGCAGAGGGGAGTTGAAAAGGAATAATATCCGGCTCCTGTCGCTCTGTTGGAGTTTTATGAAAATAATAATCGCGGTGCTTATTTAATATTTGAGATGTGAATACAGGGCTCCTGGCTCGTAAACATAAAATGAGGATAGTCAGAATTTTATAACATTTGTATTAAGCGAAATTGGTCAAATGGTTACAGAATGGGACAAGGCAAATATGCTGTCATACGTGTGGAGTTCAAGAAAAGAAATTAATTGGAAGCGGAACTTCACTACTTTAATTTTCTATTGTTTTATTTTTATTTTTCTTATTGGTACCACTGCTCATGTGAATAAAAAAATATTTTTACGAAAAATATCTACGATATTGGTGTGATCTTTTAAATGAATAAAAATGAATGTTTAATGTTAAAAGTCCAGTCTATAAACGTTCAAATATGTTAAAAGTTTTACCTACTATTACTCTACCTGAAAACAATCTATTTAATTTAAGTTTATTTTGAAAGTTTTTCCAGGCATCTGAAACGTGAATTAAAGATTAGAAGAAACAATTAGCCAAACTGCTTTAGGCCTGATCATAAAAATATATCAATTTATTACAACCGTATATTCGCAAATTAACGCAGAATAAATCAAAACTTGTTTCCTTTCGATTGGCAAATAAAAAAAAAAACGAAATCACTCATTCACAGCCACTTGCAAAAAACGCCCCACATTCCCTTTCAATATCAATGTCTGGACAGAAAATAACAATAATTACAACCAGTGTGTGCCCATTCAACAATTCGGTCGGGCACAAAACGCTTTTCAAACGCATTGTTTCTCTCCAGACGGGAGACGTACAGAACTTGCCCCTTCTTTCGGGACCTCCGAATGAGCTGCATTTGCTTTCAATGAACTCCTTGTGATGGCTACGACATATTATTTTTCTTCTGACTCATTCATTCACCGTTTAATAATCCCTCTAATAACTAAAGCAATAAGAGCTGGTTGTAGAATTTTATGGCTACCGTCGTGTACGTTGTTGTCAAAAGATCGAGTTCTTTTTTGGTTTCGTACAATTAATCAGGCTCCCAAGCTTTCAATAGAAAACCGTTACATGCGGAGTGCTATGGAAATACTCTTTACTTGCCCATAAACATAAGTATTTCTAAGAAACTGTAGAAATGTAAGAGCAACAAGTTGCAAGTCTTAATTTTTACAGCTCTCATTGCGTCAGGGTAAAAAAGGTTTACGGTACAATATACTTGTAATGTACAAAATTTAGTTAAGATTGCATTTTATTTAGAATTTGATTAAAGTCAGAGATGAATCAATTGCGGCAGATGTTTGAGATTCAATCGTGGAGCACACTGATGTAATTGTACTGTCATCTTTTTTTCTCCTACCAGTTGCGTAATGCCAAAGGGAGATAAAATATAAATAGGGGTTGTGATGGTAGTCACGTGACCTCGCTGTCTACGTTCGAACACGCGCACACGCGCACACACGCAAACGCGCACCCTCGATTATATTATTGATCGTAATCCAAAATCCTTACTTTTATGTAGGCAGTATTGTATTTTAAAATCTAGTCTAATTATTAGTTTTATTATATTTAATATTATACTTTAATTTTATAGCAATTATTAACAAACTTGTTATCTAACGGAGATAACCAGATAAAGGAGTTATCTAACGCCAGTTCGTGATTTTTTAATTCGATAAGTACAATTCAAAATAGAGCATACCGCTGAAACGTAAAAAGAAAGAACTATTTCTATGTATATCGAAATATATACTAATAATCTACTTAAGATTAAACCATCTATATGGATCCAAAATAATAAATAATGGTCGTAAGATGACACTAGCCTGAGCTACTCATGAAATTATTTAAACACACTGAACGTGACGCTGAAAAAGTTTTGGCTTCCTTATAAAATATCCTTATAAATGATTATTTTTGTAGTATGTATTTAACATTGTTTGCATTGTGAGGCCATGCCGTCATTCAGGTCTGCGCAGATACATACAATACTGTTACGTGTTAGGGGTTCGAAGGATTTGGAGAGAAAGACCTGCTGACTCTTTTGAAGACTTTATTCAATAGCACTAGGTCCAACACAAAGCACTAGGTCCAAACACTAAGCACTAACGGTGTCCTGTTTTGTAGCCAAGTCGTAGGTTTCACTGGTATCGCTCTTGATCACTAGTTTTCGCTCCGAAGTCGCCTCGAAGGTAGCTCAAACGTTTTAAATTAGTACAATACGTTTTAAATTAGTCAGAAATTTTATTTCAGTTATTGGAATTCTATTATTTTCTACTTGGTACCGGTTATATGCTAAAATGCAACTTACGGAGAATACATAAAATTATGTGTTATTTATTCATTTACTTTAAAAGGCTTTAAAAAATAATTGTACAGAATTTGTCCATGTTTATCTATCGTTCGTTTTTTTATCAAACATACTTTAAAGGATACCAATAATATCAGTTAGAGTGTAATGATTATTATTAGATTTGTATGGCTTTTTTCTAAAAGATTTTGATATATTTATCTGCTTCATAATTTTTTCTTACTTTTGTAACTATTTTACTTTTCAGCATATAGGTATCTTGAGCGTACTATTTTGAAGTATTTTTGAAGTTTTAATGATTGCCGATTGGCAATAATATTGTCTGGTTCAAAATAAATGTGTTTTATAATGCTGAATCAATCGTATTTATTTCATAGATAATATTCTATCAGTTTACATTCATATTGGGATTGCTACAGATGATTTAAGTATTAGACCTTTATACCCTAGGACTTGGTTGTTTTTTATAAAATCCTCGCTTAGATAGATTCAATGTTTAAAACATAAAAGCATTGTTTGTTGACGTTCAAAGTTTAGCACTTATAATAAATGTATTATGTTGTCACATTAAGATTAATGCTATAATATAAACATGATATTTTCCCCATTATAAAACAATGACTGTTTTTGTAATACATGCTTAACGTTATTAACATTTTAAGGCAATGCATTCTATTGTACCATTCACTCCAATGGCAAGAACTGTCAAAACATTCCACAAAATGTCTCGTTAAGTACAATTTCCTGTAAGATTTTCGACCAGAACGTTAGTCTATCATTAATGTTAATACTTTTTGCATTGCGCCATCAATTTCCTGACGTCCCTGAGCACATTAAGTAGGACTTCGCCCAAATAATATGATCAACTTATTGGCTTCCGACAATTTGGAGCGTGCGCGAGAAAAACTTCTGGACTCAGATATCGGGTTACGCTACTTTAGTCTGTTGTCAGCCGCCACCCACCGGGGTGTTTTTTTCTTGCTTTTTTTCATAAAATCTTTTTACAGGTCTAAATAGATTTCCTGTTACAAAAACAAACAGAGACGTTTATTGACTACCTAAATGTCATTTTTTAAACGACGCCTCGTTGCGAATGAGTGATGGGTTTGGAATGACTGCCGACCTATGCCGAATGGCACTTACGTTTAATGGCACCGAATTATACATTTTGGTTTATAATGTGTATGTAATGGTGCTGGAAGAACTGGGCAGTATGCTGTCATTATTCAAAGTTCTCAACTCTAAAGATTACTTTTTTAATTACATTAATATAAATTGATGATAAATTTTACATACTCCTGGCAAGTTGATTTTAAATTTGACACACTCTTTATCATTTTCTCCCCTCGGATTTCACAGTTTTACTCCGAAGAAACATAAAGGAAACTTTAGATTTCAATTTCTTAGAATAAGAAAATATTGGGACCGAAACTTTCTGAATAGGAATTCGAGTTTCGATAGAAATAAATTACTGAAAATGACTTAACAAATTCCTTGTTACTGATAAAGGTTAACGGTAAGACGACAATATTTATTAAATACGGTCTTCTCTACCAACGGGATTTAACTATGACATCAAGACTTACAACAACTTAGTCTGTCCCGTGAGCATGAACACTGGAAAGGGTTC